TTTATTAAAATGTACGCTAGGTTCTAAAGAGTGTGCATTTGAAGTTCTCACAGTTGAAATGCCAGGTGACTTAACAATGTACAAAATACAAAAGTGCCTTTATCAGTGTGAGTCAAACTGGCAAATAAATAACCCTGTCCCATTGCTGTCAATTTACATTTTTTGATTAATAAATTTTGTTATGGCTTTTGCTGTGAATTGTCATTTCAAACTAGCATTTACTTTTTTTTCTCTATTTGGGTAACTTTGGGAATACATAAGGCTGTGGATATCTAAGTTTGCCATTTAGCTCTTGACTGCTGATGCTGCCTTTCCATACATAAACATGTTTGTCATGTTACATTTGATGGGAAGAGGAAGGACATGACATAGTGTGATCATGGTTCTCTTTGGGGGATATTGGCTAAAAAAATAATGGAGTGTTCAGTTCTGCAGAAAAGGTCCAGGTTATTAAATGTACCATGAAGACTAACCCCTCCCACAGTATACCTAGTAAGCTACAAATCTGGCACATGTCCTGTATTCTCTGCTTCACACTTGCTACACATTTGAGAGCTGGATAGTGAATATGGAAGCCAAGAAAAATTGATGCCTTTGACCTGTGTTTGGAGAATAGTACTGACTATCCCACGGACTGCCAAAAGAATTAACAGGTCTTGAGAATAGTGCAGCCATAGCGCTTCTTGAAGGAAGGGATGGTGAAACTTCATCTCAGAGTTGGGACATGTTGCAAGGAGAGGCTGTTTGCAAAGGGATATGCTTAGAAGGGTGGAGGTCAGTGAAGGAGAAGATGACCCGCGATGAGATGGACTGACACAGACTGTAGCAATGTACTCATATGTCAGATAATGAGGATAGCAGAGGAAAGATCTAGTGTTCATATGGTTGCTTAGAGCTGTACTGGGGCATGTAATGATTACTGCCCCCGAGAAAGCCCGACTAACCGGCTACATAGGCTCTGGGGACCTCTGCACCCAACAGTGAATGCAAGGAATTTCAAAATGCCTGGATGTTGGAATACTGGGTACAGGGTTCAGATGAGTATACTTCCCTGTTATTCAGGGGATTGTTTTGGTAATTAAACTTGGAAAACACTTCCCACTCAACCAGGCATCTGCACCTAATGGGCTCTGATTGGACGTTTCATAACCTAGCCAGCCTATGCATCTATTTCCCAAGGCCAGTGAAGGGAAGGGACTACAAAGATGGTTAAGTAAATGCTACCCACAATCTCCCTTGTCCAAGATGCCAAGCCTGAATGACCATTTATATCAATTCATATTGTTAGGTATCAACTAAGACTCAATGACCTTGTGATTGAAACACTCCAACAGCACAATCTCTGGCCACACTCAAGTCCATTGTTAAAGTCACTTCAGTCAACCCAACTTGTCCAGGGTTTTCCTCTAGTTCCTTCACCCTCAATTTATCCAACATGATGTCATTTTCCAAGGATTGGCCTCCCATGACAATATGCCTAAAGTATATAAGAAAGCTTCACTATCTGTGTGGTGCATTTCTTCCAAGACAAATTGTGTTGTTTTCGGCAATCTGTAAATACTCTTCTCCAACACCACAATTTAAAAAAAAAAATTGTTATTGTCCAAATTTCCAACATCTAAGAAGCAATTGAGAATAATATGACTTGGATCAGATACAACTTAGTCTTTAAACTGACATCCTTACTCTTTAAAACTTTGGAGAGGTCTTTGACAGCAGATTTTCTCATTGGAACACAACTTCCTCCCCCCCCTCTTGGTACAATGGGTGTTCATTATAGATTCAAGTAAAACGAAATTGTTAACTTTTATCTAATCAGGTCAATGTGACCTTTTGATCCATGGGGAAGACTTTTGTTTTCTTGGTGTTGAGATGGAATCCATATTGAAGACTCTAATATTTTACTTTCTGCAGCAAGTATTTCAAGCTCACTTCCTTTTTGGCAAGCAAGGTTCTATCATCTGCATAATGCAGGTTCTTGAGTCTTCCCCTAATGCCACATTTTGCATATAGTCTAGTTTTTCAAATTATTTGCTCGATCAGCATAGAGATTGGATGTTGTTAGGTGCCATTGAGTATGACTCCTAGCAATCCTACAAACAACAGTTCTAAATGCTGTCCTATTCTGCACCATCTTTATCATCTGTTATCAGCACATGTATGCTGTATTGGGGGAAGGTGAGTTGCATGTTCCTGCTTATTTTACAGTTCGTGTATGTATGCTCGCTGGTTTATGGTTTGCTGTTGCAGATAAAGCACTTGACTCAGTTTGCTGTACTAGGATGACGCCCACTGCTATGGTGCTGGAAAATCTATACTGCTGTTGTTGATTGCGGTCGAATCGAGCATGACTCCTGGTGACACTATGAACAAAAGACAGAAGCCCCTCTACAACTATAGTTGCTTACCAAAGTTCATAGAGTTTCTATGCTACTGGTATTTAAAATACTGGCAAGATCACCCATATAGTGGACAGATTTCCACGGAGCGTCCAGAAGAAGGCAGACTAAAAAGTAGGATTTGCCAATTGCTTCTGAAAGAATAGGGCGTTGTAAACCCTATGAATAAGAGAGGAATATTGTTAGACATAGTGCCAGAAGTATAGCCCTTCAGATTAGGAAATACTTTAAAAATGAGGATAAACAGTTGCAAACAATCAATAATTGGAACGGGGCGGGGGAGGATTGAACAGGGAATATAAGAAGTATGAATCTAGGAAAACGGGAAATCGTAAAAAATGAAATGGAACTCATGAAAGAGCAACATCTTAATTTAAAAAAACATTGTGTGTGTGTGTGTGTGTGTGTGTGTGTGTGTGTGTGCCGTCAAATCGGATCTGACGGTACAGGAGGAGATTGGCCCTTCTTCTCCAGCAGAGCATCTGGTGGATTTGAACCATGTACCCCTGGGATTGCAGTGCAGCTTCTTACCACTAGGCCACGCCTATTAGCATTTTTGAATAAAGATAATCATATGGTCTTATGCTGGGAATGACAAACTGGAAAAGAACGGTGTCTGCAGTCTTTGGCAAAAATAACCTTTCAAGAACTATTCTTGAGTAAAATGCTGTGAGTGATAGAATACCATCCATATGCACATAGCGAAGACCTGTTAATACACAACTACTGTTGTTGTTATGTGCCATCGAGTCGCTTGTGACTCAGCGACCCTATGTACAAGAGACCTAAACACCGTTCTATCCTGTGCCAACCTCGCTGTCTCAAACACATTCATTCCCACCACTCCACTCACAGAATCGATCCATCTCATCGAAGGTCTTCCTCTCCTGCGCCATCCCTCCACTCTCCCAAACATGATGTCCCTCTCCAAGGACCAGTCGCTCCTTGCAACACGCCCAAAGTATGTCAGACGAAGCTTTAGAATCCTTGACTCCAGGGAACATTCTGGCTTCACCCTCTCCAGGACAAACCTTTTTGTTCTCCCAGCAGTCCATGGTATAGTCAACAGTCTTCTCCAGCACCACAGCTCAAAGGCATCAATTCTATGATCCCTAGTCACTGTCCTATTCTCCGATGCATAGCAGGTAATTGCAAAGACTATAGCCTGGATCAGGCGCACCTTAGTCTCCAGTCTGACGTTGTTGCTCTTCAGTACTCTTGAGAGGTCCCTAATAGCTGACTTTCCCAATGCAATTCGTCTCCTGATTTCCTGGCTGCTGTTAGTTTAAAAAAAAAAAAAACAAAAAAACAAAAAAAAAAACCAACACCGGATAAGAACCCCGGAATGATACCGTGGCAACCGGACAAAGGGGCGGGGCTACTGGGAACGGAAGGGGCGGGGCCTGGTCGCATTTGCCGACGTCACTTTTCAGATTGATTCGGTGGCGGGAAAAGCGACTGGCTCTGAGGTTGTTTGTGCTTCAGCGGCCTTCCGTCCCGAGTGGCAGCTGTTTCCGCCTACCAGCAATGGAGCAGCATCCCGCGGAGAGCTCGGCCCCCGAGCGCACGGACCTCAGAAGGGATGGCGGAGACGAGGGCACAGACCCCGGGAGGGTCGGCGACAAGGGCATGGATCCTGGAGGGGACGCAGACCCCGGAGAGGACGGCGACGAGGGCATGGAGTCTGGAGGGGTCGGCGACGAGGGCATGAACCCCGAAAGGGACGACGGCGGCGACGAGGGCATGAACCCCGAAAGGGACGACGGCGGCGACGAGGGCGGCGGGCAGCCGGAGGCCGCTGGCGCCCTGGAGACGAGCAGAAATGACCACATGGCCCTGCTGCTCAGGTTTTTCCCCCTGGCAGGCGCTGCCCGCTTTGGTCAGCATGCCCAGGCCCCTTAATAAGCCTTTTCTTCTGCGAGAAGCAAAGGAGGGAAATTATACCATCCTTGCCGAGTTGCTAAGGGAGGTTAAATGCGGAGCTTCGAGGAAAGCTTTCCTTGGAACCTTGTTGTTGTTGTACCGTCCAGTTGAAACCGACCCAGAGCTGATGCTCCAGGGAGCTTGCAGGGGAGATTGCACATCTTTCTCCCGCGGAGCAGCTGGTGGCTTCCAAGCACATACCTTGGGGTTGCCAGCGCAACTTTTACCACTAGACCAGAGCTTCCCGAATCCCTTAGGAAGGCCTTCAAAATCTTAATTCTTCCCCTACAAGCTGTTATCTGGCCCAAGGTTGTAGGGACAGCCGAGCACCACATGCCTGGAGGGAGGCTGGGACTCCCACCCCTCTTCTCTTATAGCTATAACCCATTTGAAGCAAGAAGCTTGCTTTACATTTTCTTTTTTAAAATAATATTTGGTGTTTTAGGTTAAAGTTTACACAGATAATTAGTCTCCTGTTGAACAATTTCTTGTGAGTTCATTACATTCTTCACAATGAGTCCAGCATACCCATTCTTTCCAGTAATCTGGTTTCCCTGCCCTCGTACCTTCTCATCTATGCTTTAAAAAGGCCAACCCGTTGGTCTCATGGATATGATTTTTATTTTTAAAGGAGCACAATCTTCTTAGGTAGGCATGTTGTCAAAAGGGGCCAATCCTTGGAGAAGGACCTCATGCTTAGAAAGGTAGGACACTCTACAAGATGTATTGACACTATGACTGTTGCAGTGAGGTTAGGTATGTCAGAGATGGTGATCTTGTCAGGATAGGGCAGGGTTCAGATCTGTCTTCCATACAGTCACTGTGAGTCCTGGTTAATGTGGCAGCATATAACAATAACAACTCTTTGCATTTATCGTAAATAGCATAAACTGCTATTTAGCTAAGAGATAACAAGATAGTTTAGGCTCAAAGTTTGAATACTGTCTCAGAACTGTCTTAGGGAAGGCCATAGTTTTCTCTGGTCCAGTAAGTCAGGACTTTTTAAAGAATATGAGTTGTATTCCTTATTTTTCTCTAATTTTATTAGAATTCACCTATTATAGCCCAGATCAGAACTTTATCCCTCATATAAAACAAATAAAGATAAAAACTAATGTATTACCAGTTGAGGCAAAACTGAAAAAACCCTCCCTAGTTGACCTTCCAGCTGATTTTTAGAGGGTATAAATCACAAGAGAGGAGATTGTCCGTCTTTCTCCCTAAGAGCATTTGATGGATTTGAACTACCAGAGCTGTGCAGCCTTTGAGTTAGCAATGCACTTCTCTGTAGATTGGGCCATCAGAGCTCCATATAACTTTCTCGAGTCAAAAGAAAAACAGACATAAACCCAAAATCACTGACATCCATTTGATTCCAATTCCTCATGACCCTCCACCGATTTTGGAAGTTTATATACCCTAAAGGAAGCTCAGTTTTCTCCTGTGTAGTAGCTTGTAGATTCAAACATGCAAACTTTCCCCTCTCCCCTATTAGCACCCTAACACATTGGCTTGGGTATATCAGAAATGGTGAGAATAGAACAGGATAGGGCAGGGTTCAGATCTGTTGTTCATAGGGTCCGTATGAGTCAGACAACACAGTGACACTAAACAATAACAAAAACTGAACACAATGTAGTAGCCAGCTACCAGGACTTTGTAGTGCTAACCAGGCACTATCTAATTTCTCAGACTTCAGAGTTGATATCATGGTTCTTATAGATCTTACCACTTAAATAAGTTTCTTGTTTACTGAAATAATTTCTTTGATATCATGGTTCTTATAGATCTTACCACTTAAATAAGTTTCTTGTTTACTGAAATAATTTCTACTGTCTAAGACAAATAATTCCAGGATTATGAAACTACAGTAGATGTGAAACACTTTGTAGATATAGCTTAATAAGAATTAATATTGGAAGCTCTGGTGGCCTAGTGGCAAGGAGCTGCAACTACAATCCCAGAAGTGCACGGTTCAAATCCACCAGATGCTCTGCTGGGGAAGGAGGGACAATCTCCTCCTGTACCAGTCAGATCTGATTTGACAGTACACGCACACAAAAATTAAAAAAAAAGAATTAATATTTATTTTAGGTAAACCTTTTCTACTTACTTTTGTAATTTTGAATTAAGGGGAATCATAGGACAATTAAACGATATGAGTTTCTTTCCTATACAAGGATTATTGTTATGTGCCATCAAGTCGTTTGCGACTCATAGCGACCCTATGTACAACAGCCCTAAACTCTGCTCTGTCCTGTGCCAATCGCACTGTCTCCGACACTCCCATCCCAATTATCCCAGTCACTGAATCAATCCACCTCATAGAGGGTCTTCCCCTCCTGAGCTGTACCTCCACCCTCCCAAGCATGATGTCCCTCTCCAAGGACCGGTTGCTTCTTGCAATATGTCCAGAGTATGTCAGATGAAGCCTCAGAATCCTTGCCTCTAAGGAGCAGCCTGGTTTAATCCTCTTCAGGATGAACCTGTTTGTTTTCTTAGCAGTCCATGAAAAATTCAATACTCTTCTCCAGCACCACAGCTCAAAGGCACTAATTCTTCTTCTATCCTCCCTAGTCATTGCCCAGCTCTCTGATGAATAGCAAGTGATTGCAAAGACCATGGCCTGTCTCAGAGGCACCTTAGTCTCCAGAGTGACCCCATTGCTCTCCCATCCTTTGGAAAGGTCCATCTTCAGTATTTTTCTGTCTCCAGAGCAGGTTGCAACCTGTGTTTGTTACTCATTACAATCTTTGCTGGTTTTACCATTCTGGCCTTTCTTTGTTAGTACTTCTCTAAGTCTTTTCTAGTATGCCTTAAAAAACTAAACCTAACCCACTGCTATCAATTCTGACTTAAAATTACCATGCAGGATAGAATAAAATACTGTCTTTTGGTTTCCAAGGCTACAAATCTTCATGGCAGCAAACAGCCTTGTTTTTCTTCTGAGGAATGGTTGGTAGATTCAAGCCAACAACGCCAACAACTTTGTGCTTAGACCAGACCTCCTCTAGTCTTTCCTCCTAAGAATAAATTTACAGATACTTTGTGGGTTTTTTGTTTTGTTTTGTTTTTGTTTTTTGGGTGTGGTTTTTTTGTTGTTTGGTTTTTTGTTTTTTTTTCTTTTCATCACAGATGCTGTTTTCCCACTGTATTCCATTTTGTGTCTTCCTCTGAGACCTTATATGCCTTTATACTTTTTGGGTAAAATGAATATATATGTTGTGATTGTCATTGTGCTTGTTGTGTGCCCTTGAGTTGCCCTCCAGTGGTCTTTCAGAGACAGTAAATCACCCTGGAGGGGACTACCCATCCTTCTCCCACAGAGCAGCTGATGAATTCAAACTGCGTACCTTTGGGATTGTAGTGCAGCTTCTTAACACTAGGCCTATAGAGATCACTGAAGCATATACAAGAGACTTGAATGCTAACTCATTTTGTTCCATCACCTTCTGAAGAACAAAAAAAAAATGAGCTGGGCTAGTATGTGGTACAAGTATTTGTAGCTGTCAAGCCTGTGCTTTTCCATGGTGGCCTCATCTGTGTTAGACTTGTGCTTCAAAGGATTGTTTTTTACACATAGATTTCCAGGCCTTCTTCCTAAGGTGCTTCAGGGTGGACTCAAACCTCTGACTCAGTTACCATCCAAGTGCTTAAGCAGAGATACCATGCAGGGACTCTAGTTTAAGGACAATAAGTAGAAACTCAGCCTGTAAGTATGACTTTCTATTCTTTTTTTTTTAACAGGCTGAGGGCACAGACAAGACAACAACTCTTGGAATATAAATCAATGGTTGATGCAAGTAAGTATTTCCATTTTCAAATAAAGTTTTGAGAATTTAACAAAACTCTTAAGGAAAATAATATCAATTTTACAGAAAATTATTTATCTAGGGAATACGAAGAATATAGCACACTGTAACTAAGCTACATAACAAGTCAAAAAAGCAGTATAAGACTTGCCCTATAAAACATGTCTTCTCCATTTTTAAATTGGAGTTATTTTCTCTTTTTTGTACATGTTAAAAATTTAGTTCTTCACTTGTAGTAACCACTTATCAAATGCTTACTGATTTCATGTGGCTCTACTATATTATACACACAGAAATATTCTTACTGTAAAATTATATAGGATGGCACTGTAATAAAATTTACTGTAACTGGAATTAATACAGTATGTACTTTTTTATGTCTGACTGCTTTCTATTAATTGAGATATAATTCATGCAATATAAAATTCACCACTTTAAAGTGTACACTTATAACTGCCACAGTTTATTCAGTCACATGCTGATGAATATTTACTGAACATTTGCATTAGTTCTCATTCCATGGCCTTTTCTGAATCCAGCTTGAATTTCTGGCAGTTAGTTCCCTGTCAATGCCCTTTCCCAGCCATTTTTTAAATAATATTAAGGAGATTTTACTTGTATATGATATTAATGATATTGCTAATATCCACATTCTGTTGGATCACATTTTTTAGAAATAGGAACAAATAGGGATCTCTTCCACTAAGTTGGCCCAGTAGCTTTTTTCAAAATGTCTTGGCATAGGCTAATGAGTATGTGTGGGGCTGTATCTGTTTGGTTAAATACATCACTTGTTGTTCCATCTGTTCCTGGGGCCTTATTTTGTCAGGTGCTTTCAGTGCAGCTTGAGCTTCTTTCAGTCTAATTGGTTCTTGATCATATGCTAACTTCCTGAAATGATCCAGTGATGACTAATTAATTCTTTTTGGTACAATAACTTCGTGTATCCCCTCCTTTTTTTTTTTTAATTTTATTTTTTTGTGTGTGTGTGCCTTCAAATTGGATCTGACTGGTACAGGAAGAGATGGCCCCTCCTTCTGCAGAGCATCTGGTGGATTCGAACCACATATCTCTGGGATTTTAGTGCAGTCCCCTCCTTTTAATGCTTCTTGTATCATTCAATATTTTGCCCCTGTTGTTTTTAGGGACTCAAGTCAAAGATACTCATCGCAACCCTCTGAACAACAGTTCTGAGCTCTGTCCTATCCTGTGCCATCCTCATCATCTCTGACATATGTGAGCCCATTACTGCTATATCACAGTGTCATTCTGTCTCATTGAGAATCTTCCTGTCTTTTGCTGACCGTCTACTTTTCCAAGCATTATTTCCCTTTCCAAGGAATGACTTCTCCTGTCTCAGACACACTTTCTCCAAGACATAGTTGTTTGCTCTTTTGGCAGTCCATAGGATATTCAGTCCTCTTCTCCAGTACTAGAGCTCAAAGATATCAATTAGTCATCTGTCATCCTTATTCACTGTCCAGTTTTCAGATGCATAGCATGTGATTGAAAAAAACATGGCTTGAAAAAAGGCACACCTGAGTCTTTAAACTGACATCATTACTCCTTAGTACTTTTTAAAATCTTGTTGCACACCGTCAAATCAGATCCCACTGGCATAGGAGGCGATTTCCGCCTTCTCCAACAGGGCATCTGGTGGATTCAAACTGAGTGACTTTGGGATTCTTTAATATTTTGAAGAGACCTTTGATGGCTGACTTTTCAATGCAATATATGTTTTGATTTCTTGACTTCTGGTAACAGGAGTATTGATTGTGGATCTAAGTAAAATGAAATTGTTGATAGTTTCAGTCTTCATCTATCATAATGTTGCCTATTGACCCACTGGTCAAGATTTTTGTCTCTTGAGAGGTAATCCATAGTGAAGGCTGTAATCTTTGATCTTCTGCAGCAAGTGTTTAAAGTCCTCTTCACTTTTAGCAAGCAAGATTGCATCATTTGCCCATAGAGTCTTTCAGTATTTCACCAAGTATGGAAAAGACTATCCTTTCTCCATTGAATTATTTTGCTATCTTAGTTGAAAGACATGGGTGTGTTCCTGGACTATTTACTTTGTTCCATTAAGGATTTTTCTGTTTTACCATCAAACCAGATTGTCTTGATAACCAGATTAATATCAGCTACTGTAAGTCCTCCAGCTTTTGTTATCCTTTGTCAAAATTGTTTACAGAACAATCTCATTTATTTCACATGCAAGCAAGATTCTACTGAAGATTATCCAAAAATGACTGGAACAGTATCAGCAGAGAACTGCCAGAAGTCCAGGCTGGGCTTAAAAGGGGTCGTGGTACTAGGGATATTGTAGCTGATGTTAGATGGATCTTACCTGAAAGCAGAGAATACCAGAAGAATGTCTATCTGTGTTTCATTGATTATGCAAAGGCATTTGACTGTGTGGATCATAACAAACTGTGGCTGACTCTGAGAAGAATGGGAATCCCAGAACATTTAATAGTGCTAATACAAAACCTATACTTGGACCAAGAGGCAGTAGTCAGAACAGAGCAGGGCAACACTGCATGGTTCAAAATTGGGAAGGGTGTACGCCACGGATGTGTCCTATCTCCATACCTTTTCAAACTGTATGCAGAGCAGATTATCCGAGAGGCTGGACTCTATGAGGAGATGCGTGGCCTTAGGATTGGTGGACGATCTATCAACAATCTGCGTTATGCAGATGACACAACCCTGCTTGCTGAAACTGAGAAGGACCTCATGTACTTACTGCAGAGGGTCAAGGACTGCAGCCTTCAGTATGGACTGAGGCTCAATGTCAAAAAGACAAAGATTCTCACCACTGGTAGATTCTCACCAATCGGTAGCATCAGGATGGATGGCGAAGAGATTGAGATTATTCACAACTTCAGTTTGCTCGGCTCCATGGTCAACACTCTTTGCACCAGCAGCCAGGAAATCAAAAAATGTATTGCGATGGGAAAGTCTGCTGTTAGGGACCTCTCTAAAGTACTCAGGAGCAACCGTGTCTCTCTGGAGACTAAGGTCCCCCTGATACAGGCCATGGTTTTTGCAATCACTTGTTATGCATCAGAGAGTTGGACAATGACTAGGGAGGATAGAAGGAGAATTGACGCCTTTGAGCTGTGGTGCTGGAGAAGAGTATTGAATGTACCATGGACTGCCAAGAAAACAAACAGATTCATCGTAGAGAGGTTTAGACCAGGCTGCTCCTTGGAGGCAAGGATTCTGGGGCTTCGTCTGACATACTTTGGGCATGTTGTAAGGAGAGAGAGGTCTTTAGAGAGGGACATCATGCTGGGTAGAGTAGAGGGACAGCGCAGGAGGGGAAGACCCTCTGTAAGGTAGATTGATTCAGTGACTGGGGTAATCCGGATGGGTGTGTCAGAGGCAATGCGATTGGCACAGGATAGAGCAGGGTTTAGGGCTGTTGTACATAGGGTCTCTATGAGTTGCAAACGACTCGACGGCACATAACAACAACAACAACAAATCCTAAATTTCTTTCTTTTTCTATATAAACTTTGAAATCAACTTATCAGTATCTATACATGCATAAAAAGCCTGATGGAATTTTTAATAAATATGGAGAAGTTATGTTAACAATATTGACCCCATAGTGCATGTTCATGGTCTATCTTTCTGTTTATGTAAGTCTGTAACTTCTCTTAGAAGTATTTGGGTAGAGTTCAGTGTAGAAGTAAAAAATAAATTGTGATTCTCATAAGGACTGCTTCCTGGGAGGCATCACATGGAACCAACCTTTTAGCCTCAGCATCCAGAACTCCACAATCAGTATTTTAGATCATGATTGTATATACACCCCATTTCTTTGGAGTCATTAGCCCTCAAGATCCCATCATCTCAAGATCTCAACATCCTGGCTTTAATTGCATCATAGTAGCTGTTGGTCCTCATATCACTGCTTCTGGTGCTGCTTGTCCTATAAGCATTTGAGGCAAGGGATCCCATTGCTCTCTTGTTAGGTGTGGTCTCAGCATTAAAGGCATTTGTGCTTGATTAAGAGTGCATGAAAGAGAAATGGACAGATGTGACTTTAAAGGGCCTTCTGAATCATGCCTCACCCTGTAAACCCTGTCACTCTCAATGGAAGTCAAAACTGGTCTATGTTATTGTAAAGTTCCTAAGAAAACAGGTAAATAGGATTGTTTCACTTCTTAAAAGTTTTCCTCTACCCAGGAACAAATTAATATATGTTACATGGGAAATGATGTTTTCTTCACATCAGGATCACACGCTGTAGTTTGTATTTGCTAATTAGAAAGGAGGTAAGGCATATGAGATGGGGAAGAAGAGATCCTTTGCTCAGAAGTCTAGGAAATCACCATTGTTTAGTTATAACTACTGCTTCTTGGCTCCCAGAGGACCCTTTTCTCCATATTTTTATTGGGTTTGTGTTTTGTTATCTAATTCCTATTCTTATATATATAAAATATCACTAACAGTCTTTGAGTCAATTCCAGCTAATAGCAACTCTCCACTTTCACAAGGCAATAAATCCTACGGAGGGGAGATGACACATCTTTTCCCCAGGGAGCAGCTAGTGGATTCAGACCACAGGAGACAAGGCTATTGCATTAAACAGCAAAATTATTTTTTTTTCCCAGAGATGGCATTTAATTGGCTAGTGTGATACACACCACAGGCATAGACACAAATGTGAGTCCCTCTTTCAACAACATCTTCATATCAACTATAGGCTTCAGAGCATGTGGAGGCCCTTTCTTCTTAGTGAGACCACCAGGCTACACAGGCTACACAGGCTCTGGGCAGAGCCCAGGGACTACCCAAGATGCAGGATCTTCAGTAAACAGCAAAATTAATTCCCACTGCTAAGCCACCAGAGTACCAGCAGAGCACTGTGTGAAATTCCACTGTGTGAAATTTTTCAAATATTGAAACCTTTATTTCTTTGAAGCAAAAAGTTTAGAAAGATTATACAATGTATCTAATATTAAAATGGAGGGCAAAATAATGTTAAAGATTACATTGAAACTGAGAAAATATTTATTGTTTAAAAAACCCACCATGTTGATTAACATACCATGGTGAAAAATGCTATATTAAATATAAAGTGATTTGTTGTTGTTAAGTGCCGTCCAGTCGCAGGTGACTCATAGCGACCCTATGAAGGAGAGTCCTCAACACTTGTGTGTCTCTCATCCTCTCTCCAGGTTCACAGGGTTTCCGGAGGCAAGCTATTACAGAAGTGGATGCCACTCCTTCTTCCAAGCTTGTTTTAATCAGGAAGCTCCACCCCACTACTGTCCACATTGGGTAGCCAACCATTAACGCATTTAACACATCAGTGTCACAGTGTTAAGCCTCACAGCAACCACAATTTACCGCTGTACGGTGACTTGTACACCAGGGCTATATGACCTAGAGGAATGTCTGAACAAAAACAATGAAAGACAGGCCCGAAGACCACGAATTAAAAGTCACCCACCTTTGGCTTGGTAGCATCGCCTTCTGTCCACTGGGCCACCTGATCTCTCCCTCTATGTTGATGTTATTGTTGTTAAGTGCCGTCGAGTTGCAGGCGACTCATAGCGACCTTATGAAGGAGAGTCCTCAATGCTTGGTTGTCTTTCATCCTCTCTCCAGGTTCATAGGGTTTTTGGAGGCAAGCTATTATAGAAGTGGATTATGTTGGGAAAAAAGTATTTTTTTTTCATGTACTTATTTTTGGATTCCATTATACTTAACTGTGTTTTCTTAAGTTTTCATTTGTTGCTAATAGACATATAAGTGATCATTTGTTTAACAAGGTTTTTTTTTTCCAATTTTATTATTATTTTGTGTGTCTGTGTACTGTCAAATCAGATCTGACTGGTACAGGAGGAGAGTGTCCCTCCTTTCCCGGCAGAGCTTCTGGTGGATTCGAACCATGTACCTCTGGGATTGCAGTACAGCTTCTTGCCACTAGGCCACCAGAGCTCCCCTCATTTCCTGTATTTGTAACAGTAGATAGCTCTTAAGTACATGGAATATAGTTAGTCCTAATTGAGATACGATGAAGTATAAAAAGGAAAACATTTTAGTATGTTTTATTGATTATATGTTGGAATGATAATTATTTGGATATATTAGTTTTAAAAATACATGTTAATTTTTCTGGTTTTTAGAATGAATTTTCTTTTATAATTCATTTTTTAATTGCATACATGGTTTACATATTTTACTTTTATTTCCTTTGAATAGCTATTCTAAAATGTTCTTCAAAAAATCCTGTGTTTGTAGGTGAAGAAATAACTCCAGAAGAAATCCTTCAAGAAGAACAAATCGAAGTGTATGTCTTATTTTTCAATTTCCTTTGTGTTTCTTATTAAGATTTAGTATTATCCATGTTAGCACATTGTCTTCTTAGTTTTATTTTCCAAATAATTTGTCACATATATATTGAGAGGGTGTTTATTTGGGATAAAGACCAAAAGACACATGAATCCTTACACCGAAAACTGATGAGAATGCTTTGCAATATACTTATTAGTAAAATGCTCCTGGCATCCGGTTATCAAATCTCTAAGTATACATCAATACAGTGAGATTATAAAAGATTTTTATTTAGACAGACATTTTACTGTTTCTGAAATTTTTAAAAAAATGTGATGCCTTTTTCTGATAGTTACTGACATTCTGCTGTTCATTTTTCTTTTTTAGTAAAATTGAAAGCCTGGAAAATGAAATTGATGAGGCAAAAACTGCTCTTGAAATTAAAAATCTTGCATTAGAAAGGTAATTATTATATGTTAAGTACAAGCAGTGTGAAAATTAAAAACCCACATGTAATTGAGTTTATTTCAATGCATGATTACCCCATGTGTTTCATAGTAAAGCAGCACTCCATAGTGCTTGGCTTTACAGTGGTGAGGATCTTTGCGAAGTAAAGCCCGACCTTTGTCCTGAGGCATCTCTGGGTAGATTTTAACCACCTTCCCTTGGTTTCCAGTTTAGCATCTAACTGTTGTGAACTGAATGCAAAATGCAAGAGGGAACCAAAATGATTATTAGGTATTTACCACATAAATTCTGACTCCTGAGAGAAAAGCTACATCATTTACTAATAATACTCTGCTTTCAAGAAATAACATAAAATTAATTTTTAAAAACTTTGAAAAGCCAAGATATATTGTTACTTTTCATCTAGTGTTTCATAGAATTACATGGATTTATTTAGTCTGTTAACTGTTAATCCAGTAAAAGAACTGTCATCAAGAACTCATATTTTTGTTTATAGCATTTTTATCCCCATTTTAAAATACATTCAGCAAATATTTGAGTGCTGGTTTGTAGCTGTTAAAAAGACAAATAATAATAATAAAAAAAGACAAATTCCTTGTCTTACAGATTTGTAATTTGAATTAAAAATTCAAATTAATACCTCTTTGGCTTTCCTAGGTATATTTCTTCATACATCTATTTGAAAAGTAATTCGGACAATTTTAAGTCTCTTATGCTGTGAACTTGTTTCCCTTATCTTGTATTACTGACTCACTAAATTGATCATATGTTTAAGTCAAAGTAATTTCACAATGATTAAAATACCTCCTTTTAATGAATTGCAACTTTGTATGCAAGAAATTACTATACTAAGTAGATTGCCTTTTTTATTGTTGCTTATTGGCTGGTGTTCAAAGAGTGTAGGCAGCACATGAGTGGCTGAGCCTTAACTCTGTTAACTTGATAAAGTGGAACAGTCTCCACAGTACAAAACAAATTCACATATAGTCAGAAATAACCTGCATATTCCCACACCTGCTTTTATTAATTAAGGCTCTATGCTAAGGCCGAAAGTCTGTTGCAGTGGCCATAAAGATTTCACAGGACTACACTCACAGTCATGGGGTTTATTAGGGAAGGTAATAGGTTACAATTCAGGTTGGTAGGAGTATACAATTTGTGAGTAATGCAGCTTCTCAAGTAGCTTACAGGTCCTTTGACCTTCAACCTCACAGCTTAGGTCAGTGTTACAAAGTTCCCTTAGTTCTGCCAATCAGGACATTTTCCTTGATCTTTCAGCAAGCTAGGTGAAAGCCCCTGCCTCTGACTCTGTGGGTCAGCAGGCTGATGTCAGTTTCTAGTTCTTTGCTGAGACTGCTGCTGCTGCTGCTCTCATGAAGATTTCCCGGTCAGACTGGTGCAGGAATCTTTAGCCCCAAATCACATGCTCTGCTCTCTGCATCTTCTTCCTTGCTGGTAGTGAGCGTCCCTGTTTTGCTCCTAAACCTACAGTTTAACTTAGTGAGATTTGAAGAACTGACTAATCCCCTAATGATTAGTCTATACAAGTCCTGTATGAATTTTCTGACGAGTCATGTGGTAAAAAGCATATCTAATGACTAGGAAAGCCATTTTAAACAATAAAACCATGAGACCATGGTTCACTGTTTTCATTTAAAAACAATTTATTAAGCTTGTATGTGTGTATGTATGTGTGTTTTAAAGGTTTCACTCAGCTTACCTTTTCATGCTTTCAGGCTTATGTTAATCTCTGCAGTGTCTAATGCTTCCTCCTGGCTTTTGCCAAAGTAGAAGACTTAGAGGAAGAAATCCCACTCTCAGTTTAAAACTCCGTTCAGCCCTTCAGCCTGGCAATATACAGTGTCCGTCCATTTGAATGTTACTTTATATTATTAAGATTTTGATAATGATTCCAGTTTATCTAAATATCTCCTGTGAAATACTGTTTAGAGGTATACCTTTTTAATATTTAGGGAAATGAATCTTTTACTTTCCTTTTAGATTTTTAATGTTTTTATCTTTGTTTTACAATGTAAGTTCTTTTTATTCTTTAAATAAAAGAAAAAATAAGATTTCATTTAAAGACAAAACTGAAATTATTTGGAAAAGATCTGTTAATTTTGTGAATACATTTATTTGAAGGGTTGGAGAAAAATGAAAATGCCACTTAAGCCTAAGAACTTGTAAGTTATAGTAAGTTCTTTTCTTCTCATAGGATACAACTTTCGGGTGCACTTACAAATCACATGGAAAATACTAACATCAAGACCAGGTAATTTTTTTTTTCCACCCAGATTTAGTAAGGAAAGGAATAAGAGAGATCTGCATAATGGCTTTTCTTTCGTGCATTATTTATAGCTGATAGGCTTAAGCATAGCAGAGAATGTGAGAATGGCCAGAACCAGGCAGGGTTTCATTGTGCTGTATGTAGAGCTGTTAATGAACTGGAGAACATATACCCTAACAAAAATGTAACAGCACTGCAAATCACATTCATATGAGGAATGACAACAGTAAGGGAACATTTTTGGAAGCTCTCCTCAACATTACATTTTCTTATATGGGTCAAAGTGTAGGAAACAATGAAAGTTTTATATAGGCGATTTAAATTTTCTGATAAGTTTTACTAAGTATTTACCAGAAATTGCCATTTAATTTAATCCAACAGCTACCCAATGACCTGAGACTTATATTTCCTCATTTCTCATTGACAAAAAATGATTTTGCCTAGAGAGGTGTAGATTCAGGGAATTTGTAACAACCAAAGCAGCCCTACAAGAATTAATAAAGGGAGACTTAGCATGGAAAATCAGCTCAATTGAGATAGAGACACATGACCAAATCACCCAGCTACACACCAAGTAAGACCTTTGCGAAATCAAAATAAAACTACAAAATTGGTGACAGAGAGCCAGATTCTATTAAGTGGTCCAGATGACAGCTTCAAAACAGAATGGGGAATGAGTAGTGTATTTGCCCTACTTGGGGAAATGTTAAAATTTTATTTAGCTCTACCATTTTAAATCCTTCCTCCCGAAACCACTCCTCTCTGCCAGACTGCAAAGCACTAAGCACTAACTGAGCAAACCTAATCAATAAGCCTAGCTTCCTCAGAAATACCTGGAAGTACCTATTCCAGGAGAAAGCCTCCAGCCCTAAAGGCACTCATCTTTCCCTGTGGACCTCAACTTCACACCTTGGTCAGTCTTTCTAACTATGCTGATCTGTATTTGCTATGATTCAGAAAGCTATGTCCACGATATTTCAAATAACATCAATGTCACCCATGGTAGATAGGTTTAGTTGAGTTTCCAGACTAAGACAGGCTCGGGAATCAGACTTTTGGTCCATTTCTGAAATAATTAGCCAATGAAAACCTTATGAGTAACAGAGAAATATTATTTAGTATATTGCTGGAAGATGAGCTCCTCGGTTGGAAGATTCTTAAAAAAAATGGGAAGAGCTGCCACCTCAAAGTAGTGTCTACTTTAATGATATGGATAAAGTCAAGATTTTAGAACCTGCATGATAGTATGGCATGATTCAAAAGGAGACGTGCCTGCAAATATGCATTAATAATTGTAACGTAGAATCTACGAAGTGCAAATCCAGGAAAATTAGAAGTTGTCAGAAATGAAATGGCACACATTAAGATCAGTGTCCATTGTTTTTGTTGAGCACCATTGAATCGGCAGTAAATCTTATGGGAAGAGATCACCCATCTTTCTCCTGTAGAGCAGCTGGTGGATTCATACTGCATACCTTCTCACTGATTGTGTAGTTCCTTACTACTAAGCCACCAGAGCTCCCTTCCTAACTCATAGCTGACCCTTCAGTGGGTCTTCAGACAGTAAATTGTGTGAGGGGAAATTGCCCATCATTCTCCCATGAAGCAGCTGGTGTATTCGAACCAGACGCTTTTGGGATTGAAGCACAGCTTTGGAAATTCACTGATATCGTTCACTCTGAATCACATTGCCATCCTATCCGAAGCAGCTTGGAGCTAACTTTTTTTGGTTTTTCAAGTCTGCAAATCACACGGGGGAGATTGCTCATCATATGGTTTACTATGCAAAAATGACAGATTGAAGAGGTATAATGTCATGTTCATTGTCAATAAGAACATCGCAAGATCTGTCCTGAAGTACAGTGCTGTCAGTGATAGGATAATATTCATGCTCATAAAAGGAAGACCTGTTAATGCAATTATTATTCAAATTTATGCATCAACCACTAAACCTAATGAAGAAACTGATCATTTCTTCCAACTTCTGCAGTCTCAAATTGATGAATCAGGTAGTCCCAATTACATTGATACATTACATACAAGATACATACAAGACACATTATTCATGTATTGATTGTAAAAATTGGAAATGAAAAGATTGATAGTTGGAAAACAGGGCCTTGGTGATAGAAATAAAACCAGACATTGCATTGACAAATTTTTTTACGAAGGAAATTCCCATTGCAAATATAGAAAACTTAACACCTTAACATAAAAGGACAAGCAACCCAGTTACAAAGTAGATAGAGAACATGAATAGACACTTCATCAAAGAAAACATTCAGATGGACAGCAAACACATGAAGAAATGCTCAAAATCACTAACAGAGAGGTACAGATCAAAATGAGATGCCACCTTACCCCAGCCACTATAGGGAAATTCAATAACATAGCAAACCACAGTTGCTGGTAAGGATGCTCCTGCACTGCTGGAGGGAATGTAAAATGGTAGGACCACTATGGAAAGCAGTTTGGAGCTTCCTTAGAAAGTTGAAAAGAGAAATACCACTTTACTCAGCAAGCTTACTACTTGATATAAATCCTGAAGAAATAGGGACTATTACAGGAACTGATATATGCACATCTGTGTTCACTGCACAATTATTACAATAGTAAAGAGATAAGAACAATTCAAGTATCCATCAACAGACACATGAATAAGATAACTATGGTAAATTCTCACAGCAGAGTATGACACAATATTAAAAAATGATTATTTTATTAAACACTGTACGACACAGATGAATCCAGAGTAAATTATGCTCAGTGACATAAGCCAGTCACAAGAGACCTATTATTTTAAAATGCTAAGGAAATATTTACACACAGAAACATTCTTGAATGGTTATCAGAGATGGGAAAGGAGGAAGAATGGAGTAAAATTAATAAATAGATATTATGGAACAGCAAACTACCCTTAGCTGACCATCCAGCTGGTTTCAGAGGCTGTAAATATCACAGGAGGAGATTGCCTTTCTTCCAGGGAAGCTGGTAGCTTCAGATCACCAATGTTTTGGTTGGCATTGTAACTTCTTACCCACAATAAGGAGCTGATAAGACATTATAATTAACTAATTACATTGTTGTTATTGTTAGGTGCCCTTGAGTTGCCTGTTAGTTCCAAGAGTGTTGATTGTGTACCAGAGCAAGCTGAAATTATTAACAATTTCAGTCTCTTCTCCATTTATGATGGTGCTGCCCAGTGGTGAGAATCTGTTTTCTTAATGTTGAATTTCAATCTATACTGAAGACTACAGTCCTTGACCTTCCACAGCAAGTGCTTCAGGTCCACCTCAGTTACAATGAGCAAGGTTGTGTCATCTGCCTAATGCAAGTTGCAGATGAGTTTTCCTCCAATCCTGATGCCACATACCTCCTCATAAAAACCAGGTTCCCAAATGACCAGTTCCACATAGAGATTGAAAAGGTATGGAGGCAAGACGCATCGCTGATGTACCTCTTCCCTAATTTTGAACCATGTAGTGTTTCCTTGCTCTATTCTGATGACTGCCACCTGGTCCAAGTATGGGTTTCACATGAGTACAATCAGATGTTCTGGAATTCGCCTTCTTCTCAGTGTTAGCCACAATTTGTTGTGATCCACGCAGACAAATGCCTTTGTATAGCCAATGAAACATAGACATTCTTCTGGTACTGCCTACTTTCAGCCAAGATTCATTTGACGTTGGCAGTGATGTTCCTAATGTCACGGCCTCTTCTGAACCCAGCCTGTATTTCTTATAGTTCTCTGTTGATAAACTGTTCCAGTTCAGTGATTGTTGTTTTTATTTTTATTTTATTAAATTTTGTGTGTGTACCGTCAAATCAGGTTTTACTGGTACAAGAGGCAGTTGCCCCTCCTTCTCTAGCAGAGCATCTGGTGGATTCGAACTGCATACCTCTGGGATTGCAGAGCAGCTTCTTGCCACTAGGCCACCAGAGCTCCCTTCCAGTCCAGTTTTGGGATAATCTTCAACAAGATTTTGCTTGCATGTGATATTCGTAATATTGTTTGATAATTTCCACACTATCAGACTAACTTTTTTTGGAATAGGAATAAATATGGATTTCTTCCAGTCAGCTGTCCAGGAAGCTGTTCTTCAGATTGCTTGGCACAGCTTGTTTAGCAGGTCTAGGGCAACATCTGTTTGCTGAAATATGTCAGCAATTTGAAAAAATGAAATTTTTATTCCATCAATTCCTGGGGCCTGGTTTTTTGCCAGTTCCTTCAGAGCAACTTGAACTTCCTTCTCCATCACCATTGCTTCTTAATCATATACTGTTTCATGAAATTCTTCTGTGCCAGTCAATTCTTTTTAGTTCAGTGACTCTGTGTACTCCTTCCATCTGCTTTTGATGCATCCTGGATCATTTAATATTCTTTTAGCATCTTTTTTTTTAATTAATTTTAATGAAAGTTTACAGAGACTTAGGATTTCTTTTCATGCATTGTTGCACTTTCCTCCCTGCCCACCCCTCCCCCCATTTTCACTCTTCTCTTTGAAAAGTAAAAGAAAAATTCTTTCATTGTTTTACAATCCCTGCCCCCAGGTCCAGTCCCCTGAGCAGCCATCATTCTGAGCTCCTGTCATAACAATAGTACCTAATCATATATCCCTTTTGAACAGTTCTCTCCCTCACATGTTTCAATACAGTATACATTATTTATCCCCTCTTTCTCAGTCTTCCCTCAACCCCAATACAGTCCCATTTTACAATAGTGGCACTATACAATATTTTTCCTTTTGTGACTGAGATATTTAACTTAGCATAATGTCCTCCAGGGTCACCCGTTTTGTGTAATATTTCATGAGTTTCTTGTTTTTCAATGCAGCATAGTATTCCATTGTGTGAATATACCAGAGCTTCTCTATCCATTCGTTTGTTGATGGGCACTTGGGTTGTTTCCAGCTCTTTGTTATTGTGAACAAAGCAGCAATAAACATGGGTGTCCATATATCTGCCTGGGTGGCAGTTCTGGTTTC